AGCATAGCTGACAACTATCTACTTATAAATACCCATAGATTATCATTGCCAACGTTCTCTAGCTACTAATCATTTAATCATATTACATAACCACAGATTAATTGAGCAAACACAATAAAAAGCGACGGCAGTTAACCAACCAAAGGTATACCCAGATAACTTTCTCAGTTCCTTTCATCTCATCCTATTGCGCTTCCTTCATCTCTCTGGCATTAAAAACACAGGAAATTATTCTACTACACAATATACAATGCTTATTTTTTCCCGTTTTCATTGATTTTTTTTTTTGACAAATCACAATCAAAGGCCTTAACTCTTTGTATTCATGGGTCTTTATTTCTCTGATTTGCCGTCTCAATTTCATTAAGTCTAGCTTCAGTTTTCTCTTACATCTGGTTTTTTCCCCTTGCCAAACTTTTTTCTCCTCTGAATCCCCCTCATCCTTTCTTTGTATGTACTCTCTCTGGAGCCTCCTTTAGCCAAGTCCAACCCCGTGGAGTATCCTAAAGGGTCCTTCAGTCCACCTGTTTGGTCAGAACTACTCCTTTTTCCTTCTGTAGGTGGAGGCGGGGTGCCTTGTAATGCTTTCTCTTTACCAGGGCTATTTTTGGGCAGGAAGGCACAGGAACGGAGTTCCGGCTGGCTCCCAAGTTGGCCATGCCCAGCAGGAACTCATTAGCATAATAGGCCACACCCAACAGCAGAAACTCATTAGGATTGGCTACTTTAGGGGTGTGTGGCCTAGCATGCAAAGGAGTTCCTGCTACAAAAAAGCCCTGGGTTTTGACAACAAACAAGGTAAACAGAATAACAAGCAAAAGGTGGGTGTGGCTGGATAACCACACTTCTGGTAACATGGGGGTGTGGTCTAGTGTGCTAATAAGCTGTGCTGTCAGGGGTGTGGCCCAATATGCTAATGAGTTCCTGTTGTTAGGTGTGGCCTATTATGCTAATGAGTACCTGCTGAGCTTTTTCTACAAAAAGAGCCCTGCGTCCTTACCAATGTCCCAGCAAAGATTACACTCCTCTTCCGTACTCTGTAGATTCTGCAATTACTCCTCTTCATCCCTCTGCTCCTGATACAAAGTCCGGGGTCTTTCAACACAACCTTCCCAAGCCATTTCAACAGCTTGCTGAATCTCATCTTGCAAAAGTTTTTTAAATTGTTCTATCGTAAGCTGCCCAATTTCTATACTGTCAAAGTCTTCTCCCTCCTTGTTTTCTCTTATTAGCACATCCTCGTTTTTCGCTACCGTCGCTATTTTACTCAGACTTCACATATTTTTCGTCTCGTTAACCCTTAGTCCTGATGATTTTACTACATTTATCAATTAGACTAATGCCACTTACAATGTCAGTCTACCAAATAAGTCCCAATCAACATTCCTTCATGCCCCCATTAAGTTTCCATTTACCTTTGGCTCCATTTCTTTTCTTAGCCGCTTGCTTTTTTCCAAAGTTGGAGCTAATTCCTACAGGAGCTGTTTTGGTAACATTCTTCACCAGTTTGTAGTTGAAGACACACATACTCACTTTCTTATCTTGGTTACTGTGTTTTTTATGTTGTCAGTCCAATATTTTTTTTTTAAAGGCGATTGCAACTATAGCAGACATTGGTGGCCATGCTGCCTCCTTTTCTGCTCCCACTTCAGGACAAAGCGCTCTCTCCTCGTCTACCGCCGTAAACAGGGGGAGCGGTCAAGTCCCCTGCGAACCCTACCTCCCTACAAGAGGTCTGGTGGAACCCCAGTAGTCCCAAGGACCTGGGGGGGCCACCCAAAAAAGCAAAAAAAGGTTGGCGACCATCGGGAACGTTCTGCCAAGTCACCCACGGCGTTGCCCGGAAGTCCTGTGATACACCATTTTGAGGCCTGTCCCGCTACTTTGGGAGGGGCTGTGGCTCACTGGCAGAGCATCTGCTTGGGGCCTGATCCTCATTTCTCTGTTCCCAGACTCTACAACACACCCTTTCCCCTGGATAGGATTAGAAAAATCCACTCTGCCTGTTATCTGGAAGTGATCCTGTCAAGAACCGAAGCCTGGGTGTGTTCACAAGGAGAGTGCACAGAAGTAAACCTGACCCATTTATATTTTTATAAATGTACACACACACACACACACACACATATATGGAGCTGCGGTGGCTCAAGTGGTTAATACGCTGAACTGCAGGCTGTGGAAGGTCGGTAGTTCAGCAGTTCCAGACCCGAGTGTGCCGCATGACGGAGTGAGCTCCCGTCTCTAGTTCCAGCTCCTGCCAACCTAGCAGTTCGAAAGCAAGAATTGCAAGTAGATAAATAGGTACCACTTCAATGGGAAGGTAACAGTGTTCTGTGCACCTTGGTGTATATATAAGCTTATTAAGGATTTAAGAAGAAGATACGGCTAAACATCACCTTTTCTGCAGCTCAGCAAAAGAAAACAAGAAAAGCTGTTCTATGTAATACATGAAATACTTTAAGCTGCATGAAGACTCAAATACTGAACATCCGCAAGTCTGACCAGGCCACTTAATAATCACCTTAACCCCTTGGGGGAACTAGGGTGCTTTGCGTCAGATTGGAATTGAGGGCTTTGATCTTGACCATGCTTCTGTCCTTCCAGAATAATAACTACTCTTGAATTTCTTTCCTTCCCCAAATAAGAATGGGGAATTTCACATTACCCGTCTTCTCCCGGTTTCAAGCCGGGAGTCTTCCGTTTGCAGATGAACCGGTAGAGGGCTGCCGTTTCACACACGGCTTGCCCCTACCAGAAAGGAGCCGATTCAGAAGCGGTTCGGCGTTTCACACACGCACCGCTTTGTTTCCCCATGTTGTTTTTTTTTAAAGTCCGTCTTATAGCGATATATCGATATACCAGTATTCCAATGTATTCCAATGGGATCGGTATAGCGTTATATCGATATATCGATATAAGCCGAACGTTCAAAAAAAAAAAAAA